CGCAAAGCCGACCTCCTTCCTGCGCGCAAGCTTTCTATCCTCCGCTATGGTCCCTTCCTCCTGTGACACCAACACCTCCTGGAAGTGACGCGTATGCAACACAATGGTGTTTCACAGTAGAAGGGACACAATCATGATATGACGGTAGATTTTTCGCTTCCCTTCCTCATCCTCCCTTCCTCTCTCCACTGCCCTCCAGCTGCCACTGCAGCACCATGTGGAATGAACGGAAGTGTGCTAAGCAGGTGTTTATATAGCCCTAAGAGTGTTATCACAACTATCCTGCTACAAAACATTGATATCTCAAATCCTGTAAGCTACCCGATTTGTTAGCGGTTTGTTTATCCCATGAGCTTCCTTCTCACTCACTTCATTTTGCGGACGGACACACATACATACATACATACACACACATACATACAATATACGTAGCGCCTAGATGACATCTATTTCGAGCGTCACCTAGAGAAATTGAGCCAAAACTAAGGTCATATTCGTGATCAGGAGCCTCGATAACCCCTATCCACAAGTTTACAGCGAATTTGGTGAGAACACCCTTGGCGCCAATTGGCGCCAAATGGCGCCAATTTGGCGCCAGCGCCAAAAACTAAGGTCATATTCGTGATCAGGAGCCTCGATAACCCCCCTAGCGCAAGTTTCAGCGAAAAATTTTTGATCCATCTCACCCCCTCTGGGGTTGTAATAGCTCAATAGTGCCCGCGTACCTTCTGAGGGTGCGGACTGAAGCGCAATTGGCACCGAAGGAGTTGACCTCGACCTATAAGGCTCAATCTTGGCGCGGTTGGCGGTGCACGCCCACCGATCATCTGATCACTCGCCGCAGGTCTATACGTGGCGAGTGATTAGATAGGTGAGAGAGCGTAGTGTTGAAGAGGGCACAGCGATGAGAGTCAAATTTCTATTTGAGATCACAGGAATTTTTCCCAATAATTTTTGTGTAAAAGGCCACTCAGCCGACGTCCCAAAATTATACGTCCACCTCACGTTTATCGATTACTTTTCACTTCTGTTCCACGAAACTTTTTCATTGTGGTAACACTTCACTTCTTAAGAGAACAGCATAATAAAGACTGCTGTTGGATTTTGAGAAAGGGAAAATGTCGCAAAAACTGATTGAACAACGGAACCGCACCAGATTTGGTCCAGATTCACGCCAAGCTTGAGAATTTTTTCAGGGGTTTCACATGATATGGAGCTTAGAAGAGCTCTAAAAGTCTCTCATTACTTTTCGATGGAAACAAAGGCGGTGTTACAGAAATAACATCCATTTTCATCCAACGGTGCTCTGTCATCGAATCTTCTTGAGAACTTTATGCCTCAACAGACTTTTGTTTCATGCATGTAAAGGAATCCCAAGATCGTTCTTGATCGGAAAATGTGAAAGACGTTCATTTGTGGCAGGGAATCGTGACGAAAACTGGGCTGATTTTTGCATGAAGGTGCAGCCGAGCCGACTGGAGCAGGGTCCTTTTTTCCTTGCTATGCATGAGTGTTTGTCCGTCTTTCTTTTCAACATTTTCTTTCTTTTAGTAGTGCTCCTCTAAGAAAAAAGCCATTAAGGGAAAGGTAGACGTGAGAAGAAACAAACAAATGCCAAAACATATCGGGCAGAAGCGAACCTTACTTCAGTCGGCTGGCTGCACCTTCATGCAAAAATCAGCCCAGTTTTCGCCACGATTCCTTGCCACAAATGAACGTCTTTCACATTTTCCGATCAAGAACGATCTTGGGATTCCTTTACATGCATGAAACAAAAGTCTGTTGAGGCATAAAGTTCTCAAGAAGATTCGATGACAGAGCACCGTTGGATGAAAATGGATGTTATTTCTGTAACACCGCTTTTGTTTCCATCGAAAAGTAATGAGAGACTTTTAGAGCTCTTCTAAACTCCATATCATGTGAAAACCTCTGAAGAAATTGCGATTCACAGCGTCATATTCGATTGGGTGGGGCACACACCGCCACCCCTCCGCGCGCCGGCTTCACACAGCATCCCGGAGGCTGAGCTGACCATGCAACCTCTGAAAAAATTCTCAAGCTTGGCGTGAATCTGGACCAAATCTGGTGCGGTTCCGTTGTTCAACAGTTTTTGCGACATTTTCCCTTTCTCAAAATCCAACAGCAGTCTTTATTATGCTGTTCTCTTAAGAAGTGAAGTGTTACCACAATGAAAAAGTTTCGTGGAACAGAAGTGAAAAGTAATCGATAAACGTGAGGTGGACGTATAATTTTGGGACGTCGGCTGAGTGGCCTTTTACACAAAAATTATTGGGAAAAATTCCTGTGATCTCAAATAGAAAATTGATGTTCATAGGCAATTGCGTATTTATATGCGATACATTGTCACATAGGAGACTTTTTTCGTAACATCTGTATTTCTGAGATTTTGGGAAATTCTTAGGTGGACGTATAATTATGGGACGCAGTGTATATATATATATATATATATATATATATATATATATATATATATATATATATATATATATATATATATATATATATATATATATATATATATATACTCACGAATTCATGAAGAGCGTTTTGTTTTGAAAATATTTTCTTAATGTGATAGAAGAAAATCACTCTAACCTTTTCACAGCAGGGCTGTTTCTTGATCACTTCTGGCGCCATCCAGCTGACTGTGCCGCAAAATGACATCACCGTACTGTTCTGCTTCTTCTGCTGATGCGACGTGCCAAAATCGCAGATCTTCACCACTCCCTCTTCATCGAACAGGATACTGTGCGAAGATACGATGTTTGGTATGTTTTTTTTTACGTTGGAACTGAGACGCAAAAATTTGAATTTTGCGCAAAAATTTGTGTTTTCTCTGACCGTTTATGTTAAGTGTAAAGTGGTCATCAAAAAAGGTTGCAAATATTGCCAAAAATCCTGAAATAGTCACGACTGGTTATCGTGTTTATCGATTTGGAGCCGGAGTTGCTGGGACACTCACTTTGGACTCTTCAAATCACGATGAATTACTTTGTTCTTGTGCAAATATTCCATTCCTTCGGCGATTTGTCGGCTCCACGAACACCATTCTTCCCATCCTGAAAACCAAGCTGTACTGCAGCTGCATTTTCTTAGGTTAGCGACCGAGTATCGGTCGAGTTACTTAGAACTGAGAACTGAGAACTTAGCACTTCAGTAATGTTATAGTCACAACTTATGCGCCAAACAACTAATGCTTTTTAGTGCCAACTATGCTGCACATGCATTTTCAAGGGACTTTACGTTTGGAAGGCAGCTCGTCAAAGTTAATGTAGAGGTGCTCGCCAGTGGTGCCACAATGAAGAAAAAACCATGAGAAATGGCCCAGAATCCTTGAAAATGAGACGGTGATTACAGCACTGACGCGATTCTTATCGGTGCTGCCGTTTTTATCATGTCTCTCTGTCTAAACGGCTTACCTCCTCTGCTAATGCTAGATACCTGTGGCAAGTGGGTAGCCAGTCGCTGAACCTGCCGCATCATAGCGACGCCGGGGGCCATGCTAGATCGTCGGAGGCATATCTACGTTGCAAGCTGCGTGTCGTTCCGCACCTCAGGGAGTTAGCCTATTTTCCTCTAAGTATGCTTCCCCTTCTTCGATCATTGACCATATAGTGGAATCCTCCTTCTAATTTCGGTCATTCACTATTAGTGACGGTACCATCCTCCTGTAGCAGCGCATATCTTCTTATTTAAATTTTCCATGAAGTTTTGTTTTGAATTCCAAGTTCCACGGTATGATTCCTGGCCAGAGACACAATCCTACCGTAAAGACTGGGCCGCCTTGGCTATCATCTACAGGTTTGAATGTTGCCGATTTCTTCTGAAAGAGAATGATGGGAAAATGGTACGTAACCGTTGACTCACCAATGACCCTGTCCGACTTTAATATGTCACCTAACTGACCGTTGGGACAGTATTCCATAACTAGGCAGTAGCACGGAGCTTGAGTGCATACACCACTGAAAACACACAAGGTCTGGCTAGCTGGATAGTTGTCGCAATCGCAATGCGCAGATTCACTGAACTTACATAAATTTTATGATATTCGGGTGATTTAAGTGGCGTAAATGTTTGATCTCGGTTTCCTCTTTCAGTTTAACTTTTTTCACTGCCACCGTTTGACCGTTGAGACAGCCTCTGAAATAAAGGTAGAAGAGGCACATGCAACACATCATTGTTGAACTCTTTAACATTTGTGCGCCTTGTCATGTTGTGTTGCAATGGAAATAATAATAAGTGGACTGTTCGCCTGCAAACACAAATTTTTTTTTCGATTGATTAGCGGGTGTAGTTCCTGCCCATTATCGAATCTTAGTAGTGTGGGGGAGGGGGTGTTCCGTATGATGCAACACGTACAAAAGGTCTTCGCTATGCCAATCAGACTTACAAGGAATGTCCTTCAGGTCGCCATGGCCGTTCTACATGAGATGTATACCACTCTATGCATTCTGACACGCTGATTTCGAATCTGCTAAACGACTCTCCGAACGGAGTTATGAAGCGTAATAGCTCAGTGGTGATGGTCCGGGGTGGCAGGTAAAAGCTCGTAGGATCGGTTCCTTTGCAAGTTTGTTGCTTTGCTTTTGTCCGCAACACTTCTAGAGACAAAAGCAAAGCAACCAATTTGCAAAGGAACCGATCCTACGAGCTTTTACCTGCCACCCCGGACCATCACCACTGAGCTATTACGCTTCATAACTCCGTTCGGAGAGTCGTTTAGCAGATTTGGAAGGCAGATTTGGAATCAGCGTGTCAGAGATGCATCAGTGGTATACATCTCATGTAGAACGGCCATGGCGACCTGAAGGACATTCCTTGTTAGCTATGTGCGGAGCTTTCCTGGGCCATTTTTTCTTCGTAATGTGTGTGAAAGAACCTAGAAGTGTTAAGTGAAGACTAGTTGATAGAACATGGAGATGTGAGAGATGTAAGTGAGGGAACATTATTTACCATAACATGTAGCCGTAGACGCTCACGTAGATCATCAATCACCCTTTCCGCCCGTTTTGGACGAGTTTCCCACATTTAGCTATAGCACTAAAATCATGAAAAAATGCGATTTGCTCCTCGCACCTTCTGTGGGAAAGAGTATCGTAGCGACTCCATTCAGGCAGAAACAAGAGAACCAACCTAAAAACTGCACCCTGAGACCCGGCGCCAAGCCATTCCAGACCTGTGATTGCTTCGAACGGAATTTCCCAGTCGTCCTCTATCGATTTAACTCTGAAAAGCGGTTTTAGGCGGCGATTCGAAAGGCTATCTAAATCCAAACTGACAAGTCGTTGTTGCTACGTCCAAAGTAGCCCCATACCGGACGGAAGCATGAGAAAATACCCTCATATAGAGTACCTGGAACGAAGACTTGAGATTCAAGCGCCAGAAATCTGGAAATTGATATTTTTCTGGAGTTCGCTTACCAATTCCAGCCCTATAGTAGTTATTGTTGAGAGGCTTCCCAGGCGATGCTACAACACACGATGCTTCTGAAACTGTATGCATGGCATTATGTGACATGACATGGGATGTTGTCATGCTACAGTTTTTTCACTTCTTTTTTAAAGTTTACTAACGATTAGGAACGCTTTAAGCACATGTTCCTCGACTCTTGAGCAAGGGCTACAGGGTAGGGCCTAAATATGGCTAGGAATAATAATGGTTGTGGTCCAGTTTCAATTCTAATAGGTCAAGACGGGTTATCAGCTATGGCAGCGTATGACTACAAGGTGGCTACAGAGTATGGTCCGGTATTTAATGTTGTTGAAAATTATAAAATAAATACGTTGCTTTTCTCCAAAAACTTATCGATTGATAGCTATAAATACAGGAAAATTTATTCGAGGTACTTTCGAAATGATCGCCTTTGGCCAGAATACAAGCTTCCAATCTCTTAGTAAAGGCTTCCACGTGGGCCGCAGTAGTTGGCACCAATTTTCTGCCACTCCCTCTGAAGCGCTGCATTCAGATTTCCCCAAACCACGGTAGAGTGAAGAAGACACTTTCTGCTGCAGACAACCCCAAACAGAATAGTCCATCGGATTGAGGGCTGGGAGTTAGATGGCCACATGTCTTTGTCTCAAAATCAGGAAAAACGACACTGACAAAAGTAAGTCGTAGCAACTCATGTGCTGGCGCACAGCTTTGTTGTAAAATAAAATTTCATCCTCCAAGGTTTTCAGGCCCACGGTATCAGTGTGACCCACAAAATAGTGTTCTGATAAGTTTTTGAGTTGATTTTGATGTTTTATTAACAAAACCGAGGGGCGTCTTATATTCTGATATTATCCCGGCCCGAACCATTATCGACTTCGGGAACGGGCTCCTGGTTTTTACCCGTCGTTTTCTGGAGTTTTTCTCTGCCGAGCAGAAGCAGTTGCCGCTAGTTTGGGCTGTTGTGCGCGACCTCGACCGTGAAAATTTTCTCGTCACTTCAAACGATGTCCGAGAGGCGGCCCACATGCACTGCTGACAGAAGCTCTCACATTTTCCAGTCTTTTCTTCTTAGCGACTTGGCTTAGCATCTGCCCTCGAAAGAAGCGAAGAGTTAAAATTTTACGATGTTTTGAAAACTTCTTCGTGAGATATGCAGATCCGAAGCGATTTCATTCATACTGCTGTCTCATTATGGGAGATCCTCTTCTTGATCGTCTTTGGGATCCGTGGGACATTAGCTGCTCTTGGTCGGCTTGTTTTTGGAAGGGATAGGTGCTCCCTGCATTGGGCCACAATTCTTCGCACCGTTCTGTCGTTGTGCATGTGCAGCCTTTTTGTGATCTCCGCGGCGGAACATCCTTGATCCACGATGTGCGATGGTGATGTGATGGGGAGACGGTCGCATTCCTTCGAGATATTTGTACCGCCAATCGTGGTAAAATGGGCAGTGCATGACTGACATGCTTTATCCAGTGTTACTATCGCACTGTTGAAATAGGGATTTAAAGGTTAGCAAGCTACATGTAAATTGGCGGCCCATACTTTGTAGCCACCCTGTATTTCCTAGAGTACAATTGTTAACATTTTTGTTCGAAAAGGTCACACATGAAACATGGCAACATTCTCCATGCGGACCTTACAGAAACTGGCCCTTACCCGCATGATATTATTCAGATTCATCTCCTATTTTTTGAAGAGCAGCTTTTAGTGATCCACCTGGATTGTGTTGTCTCGGGCAATACATCAGCTCTAATGGTGACCACAAGGTTCACGCTTCATTCATATTCGAAGTTTTGGCTGGCCAACCTTTATGCCATCTTATAGCGGGGAACTGGCCCGGCGTCAGACTTACAAAGAATTCAATCCATGAGCAGAAACAGCGCCTTACTTTTGAATCTAATTACATATTCTTAATAGTGAGAATGAATATAGTTTTCTTTATAATTCTACCTGTTTGGCTCCGATCAAATAGGGTTTAGTAAAGCTGAGCACAGCCGAGCTCTCGTATTAGGCAACATGTATGCTTTCAATACTTTTGACTGATGTGATTAACGAAAGGTTCTGTAGTGCAGGTGATAAAGCAGTCCTTTTCCGCAGCTCATCAATACTCATAAACATCCATCATTTTCAGAAACTGACATTTCCTAGCGGCCGAATAAGCTTTGGATAATTAACACAACTACTTGGACTGCTTACTGTCAGCCATTAGCGTAAACAACTAACATGGTTCGGATGCTGGAAGGTTGAGCGGTTGAAACTTCTGGTGGCGATGATACTGCAATAGAAACACCCAATAGCATATCATGCTTTCATGAACCAATAATCTTTCGAAGATTGGAAAGGTTAGCGGTCGAAAAGATTTCGATATTGACGAATGGATTGGAATGGAATGTTTGCTCATCGCGCATCGAGACACAGGGTTTTCCACCCCAATTCGTAAACGTTGCAACCGATTTCGTCATTTTAACGCCTAATTCGTCATTCTTGCAAGCAATTTCGTAAACCTTGCAATCAATTTCGGCAAAAAAATTTCGCTGAAACTTATCCTACAGGGGTTATCGAGGGTCTGATCACGAATGTGACATCCATTTTTGGCGCTGGCGCCAAATTGGCGCCATTTTGCCACGGCTCTTTTTCTTCTTCTTCTCCCTAGCGTCTGTCCCGGCAGTCGAGGGTCCTGCTATCTCTATTAGTCGTCGCCACTTCTGTCCAGCGCATCTCAGCTGTGGCCATGATTTTACTTAGGTCCTTCTGATAACGTCCCTTCACCTCTTATCTTGGGTCCTCGCGGTCCTGTGCCTCCTTAGCACGTACCCATACCATAGCAGTCGTTGCTCCCTCACCTTCAGCTGGAGGCAGTCTGCATGACCGCTCTGACATCCTCGTTCCTGACCCTGTCCAGTCGCGTCCAACCGCAGGCCCATCTCAGCATCCTCATCTCAGCGGAGTGCAGCTGCCTTTCGTGATTCTTGTTCAGGGGCCAGCATCGCAGGCCTTATCACAGCCCGATACACCTTTCCTTTCAATGTTCCAGAGCGTCTTCGATCACAGAGGATCCCAGTGGACTCCCTCCACATCATCCGGGCCGCGTC